TATATATGCCGAAGAAGGATATGTGCTGTCGGCGTTGATTTTTGTTAATAGACATGCAGGATTGCTCAAAAAGTAATGGTGGTTTTTCTACCGACAAAGACGCAGCACTTACAAATTCTAACACAAAATTAATTTATTATGTATTCGTCGTCGTGTTTCACGCCTATCTTCTCTTATACCTCGACTAATTCTCCGTCTTGCAAGAAATTTTCGGGTTTAGTGATGACCTCGCACACCCACTTTTTGAAACATTTCATTGTTAAACATATTGCGATCGACTTTTTTTTGCCGGTGCTTAAGAAGGATGGCAGTCAGTTAACGCGAGACAGGAGAATATTTTGGTATCTAAAAAAACACTTACATTCAAGCTCTTAGCTGCTCTAACAACTTATGTCGTGCGCGTATGGCATCAGCCTTTTGCGCTAGATAACTTCATGGACTCAATGTAATTGTGTCACACACTAATCATTGTCGACTGCTGTGCTTTCTTAGACGTTTCCCCTTGTATAAGAGGCTCTTAGCTTCACCAAAAGCAAATCCTAGTTTTTTTTTCCCGGATAGACGTCTAACTTGACTCTGACTTTAGGAGGTACTTCCCGGAGTAAGTTCCGGAGTTCCTCTACTCTGCATCAGCGTAAAGGCGCTATTTGTGCTTACTCATCGTAGTTCTTTGTCGAAGTCTGTCTTAATGGCTGCGTGTTGCTCTGTATAAAAGACATGTTGAGGGATAATAAAAGCCATATGCTTCTTGTTCGGTCTGCGGGGCACTCGGACTTATAATTTCTCTATTAAATCTCACGGATTTAAGAAGCTTAACGATAGTCGATTTTTGGCACCCCGTCCCCTTGTCCTTCATCATTTGTCACCCAAAGTTCTTATTAACCGCAAATGACCAATCAAGGTAAGACGTTTTTAAACTTAGCAAACAGTCCTCTGTGAACGTTGTGCACGGCATAGATGTTATAGTATGCCTCCATAGGTTGTTGATTTCGGCAAAAAAAAAAGCGAAATAAAGTAGGTGTCGAAAATGCACTTTTATTATTTCAAACACGTAACTTTCTCATGTCTATACACATTACATGCTTACAGATGAAAAAGAACCGCTTTCAAATGATATCGCTCAAAAAGTGAGCAAGTAGTAGAGAGATACGTTTAAAAACAACCACCATCATTTTTCGACGAAACTTTATATATATATATATATATATATATAGACACCCGCTGTCTTTCGAAAACCAAAAGGGCGAAATACTCGTGTAGAGCATGAAACAATGGAAAAAAGAAAACCGTATCACTGCATTGAGGCGTTGTCTATGCTCAATAATATTCAGTGCTGTTGGCTTTCTCCCCATGAATCAGTGGCACAACTGTGGCCCCGGCAGAAAGTCCATAGTCACTGGAGTGTATCTGGATTGTACTAGATGCTGTGTTATAGTTTAATGTAACATGAGTTTTTATTAAGCGTATGCCTGTCTAACTGATTCGTTTCCTACTATTAATTATTGAATAATGTGTATATTTATGTTTGACTAGCATGCAGCTTATGGTAGCAAAGTGACAAGCTTATGTTTCTATTTTCGAAAATAAAGTTTGTGTGTTGCAATAAAATGACAAGGTTCGTAAGTTGATTTGTTTCGCAATTTTACTACGTTATAAGTCGCCTAAGCCTTATTTGGTTTGAAATAGATGCTGCTGGCAATGATGAAAAATCATCTGTACGACACTTTTAGCGGAACCTAGGCTTTTTCAACTGACACAAATTTGAAATAATTGTGTTGTTCATGCCCTCACGCTCGAACTGCAATTTGTTTGTCTGCTGTCGGAGAACTTGATGAACTGAATAAAAATTTTACCCATTTTCATTCAAGCTCTATATTCGAATCATAACTTCCCTTCAAGCGATAACTTTCGGTATTACCTGAACAGCCCTTTCACAGAATATCCTTTATGTAATCTGTATAAAACGTTCTCTAGTATCTATTACTCAAGTAGTAAGTAAGTATATATAAGCGAACTCAATATTAGCCGTATGTGATTTTTACACCGTTCTCAGCAAAAGAGCACTCTGTCAAAAAGCGATCGTATTCTGTTCGAAGTCCCTACATCCTTAAGTCCTTCATCACTCGATCAGACGTTATTGAGCTAAGCGCCTGCGATGGCCTGAAGTGTTGCATGTACCTTCTCTCATATATATGAAATCTGTTCGCACATTGGGCATGCTACTGATTATTAGAAACGTTGTTGCTGCTGCACTGAGTATGTAAAGAGGCGAAATCAACGGGAACTTCGGAATAAGATTTGAACAGTCACGATAGGTGGCTTATGTGCCATCAGTGTGTACAGCCTTCACCATCTTCGACTATGTTACGTTGCGAATATAGTCCTCAACTGAATTGTTTTCAAAACTACCTAAATAACTAGGAGACAGATGTTAAAACAGCAACGGATCTCTCGCCCTTCATCATATAATGGTTCTTGAATAATTGAAAATGACTCTGATACGGGAGTATATCAGTCGCAAAAAAACTTTGACCAAAAAGAGAGGGATTTTTTATTCAAGAGCTGTAACAGTCATTCGACATATTTGTCGGTCTCCGGTTCTTTTTCAGCTACTGAATGAGACAATTTACTAGATTGGACCGTTGACTGATAAAACCTAGCAGTAATAGTGAATGGTGTTATTACTGCATACTGTTGCTAGTGGAGACGATGCTGGAAGTGTCTACTGCAATGCTAATCCTAAATGTCTTTCATGTCATTAATCAAGTTACTGGAAAATGGAAGAGAAACAGAAACATTTACTTCAAGTTAACCAAAAAGCTAAGGGAACCAGTACATTAAACATTCTCGCAACTAACTAACGTTATTAGCAATACACAGAAGCAAGTAGTAATACGATTATAATTAATCAGGTAGAGAAATGGTACTCTATTGAGAAATTTCGATTTCGTTTCTGGGTGTTAATCCTTGGTAGTAACAAAAAAATGATTTAGCCCAACGCTCGCGGGAAATAGCTGGCAGCAGTAGCTGGTAGCTGGAAACAATGAACAGCAGTTCTGCCAAAATACGTTTACTGGGACCTGCAATCTAAAAACCAGAAAATCACACAAATATATATATATGTTATAATTCAAGAAGCATCCTTTTCTGAGAGGCTATTTGTTTATTTATTTATTTTCTTATGACTTAACACCGTTAACTGAAAGTATTCAAAGGATCATTTGTGTGCCTATGTCGCGAGAAGACCAAAAATCGAGTCAACCAGTAATTGCATGCCACCGTAAATATGCACACCTAACAACTTTAACCATATCTTTAATATAATTGGAAATATTAAGCGCTCTTGTACTATTCCTTCCAAGAGGTCGAATAGCAAAATGGGTTCCGTTTCTTTTTTGGTCGCTTTGAAGTCTTTTGGCGAACCTCTTGTAAAGTCAGTCTAGAGAATTCTAGTGTAATCTCTCACCCGCAATAGAAAACACCCAAACTTTCGTGTTGTGCTTGAAGTGAATACCGTTAGACCATGTCAATTAACCTAACATGTGGGATGGTGCAAAAATTAATTGAAGTTTGGTTTTTGAGGTAAGGATCTAGATAAGTAAAGAGAGGTCTCGCCGCTATTTTGCTGATTTCGTAAAAAAATTTTCTACAGTGGACCATTGTGTTTTATGGCATATTTTTCTTTAAAGCATAAAAGATCTGCGCTTTATGTTGTAAACATGTTGTCAATAAATAATAATAATAAGCAGCTATTGCAATCGGTACTTTTCAATTTGCGTAGAAAATATTCAACGCTAGGTAAAGACGATTCTTTAAAGAAAATAAGGCTTACAGCGTCACCATAGTAAGCCCAACAGGTTGGATCGTATTACTGTACATGTACGGGGATTTGGCTTGCTTTCAAGTGCATATCTAATTGCATGTTAGCATTTTAGAATTTGCGATTTGCTCGGAGCCGGTTGTTCAGATCTACCTTCGGAAATGGTGAGGCCTAAGTCGGACGTACGTTACTTGCCTCTCTATTTTCACGTCATTTGCCGATAAATTCAGCTCGTATCTATTGGCGCACTGTATGATGAATTGTAGCGCCGGAAAGTAGGAACCATACAGCCGCCGATTCAACATAGGACAGATTAGAATGTGCCTTTGTTTGTATACTGCTTTTATATGGCGCTAGAATGTAGCCTACCGACGAAATCGTTGAAGATGTCTATACCAAGCGGTTCAAGCACTATGCCTCCTGGCAAAACGCGTCGTCGTTTATACTTATTCGTCAGTCGCTTCAAGCAAACTGTGGGAATAGGTTGATAGCATCGATACACATAAATGCGACTCTTGTTAACTGATAATCCTTATACATATTTTTAAACGCTCAATCACAGAATATTTTATCGTAGCCTTAGCTGAACGACCGACGTGATCATCGACGATGACATTTTGGTTACCATAATACGAGTACAGGATATATTTGCACGAAAAATCGCACGAAACACCCAAATTTTTTCTTCGCTAGCTCTTCCTAGGAGCACTTTATCAACAACCTAAGTATTTTCCCCATCCTATGCGGAAGCGGTGTCTGCCCGGTAGTATTTTATGTCACTTCCAAAGAAATGCCGAATTTAAAATACGCTTACATTGAGATCTTGTTGACCTAGTGGCCGCTGACAAGCGCCGGAGTCACCGATCGACCGTCAGCATATCCATCTTATTATTTTGCCAGTTATTGTACGACGTCTAAGACTTGGCATGAACAACATCTGCCTCTGTAATCAGGATACACTTGCTTTTCGTACTGATACCTCAGATACGGTCCTTTGTTGTCACGAAAGCTACCAGCAGGAAGAAGAACATCCACTATATTGGAAAGGAAACTCGTTCGAAAAAAATATCTCATGTGTAGTATTATGGTAGTCACTAGTGCCAAGTTTGTTTTGGCTTTCGTACGTTTGGTGAAAATCGCTGCGGCATTCGAGTCATTTAACCCTGTCTGTGTTATCAACAAGCTATCCGCTTGCGCTCGTTTAATTCACGGTTTGCAGTCCAATTATTATAATTAGATGAACGTCCTTCTCTATTTGTCGCACCGCTGAGAGCTCCTGTTTGCCGTGGCACATAATTGTTTATTTTGACATACCGCCGACGGCACGAGTTTCATCCAGAATAGATTGTATCTTAAACTTTCCCTTCGTTCTATTCCTAATCGTTCGACAGGTAGAAGACATGTCTCTTCTGTGTGTCGCCTTTGTGCTCCGGCAGCAGAAGTACATTTTTGTTCTTTGACTGCCCCAACGACGGATTACTATTGGCAACAACGCTATGCTGGGGCACATCTCCGAGGTACGGCACAGTTCTACCATTTTATTTAGCAGATCCTCACCCTTCAGGCAACGATGCCTCATTTCCGCCGCATTTTCTGCAGCTTCCACTCTTACGATTACTGCCATTGCTTCCAGAAGTGAAACTAGATTGTTCCCGTGCTTATCATGGTCGTTAGAGATCTGCCAGGCGAGCGAAAACGCTGAAAGCACAAGGTAGATGCGTGTCAGCAACAGGCAACCGTGCGGAGCTCTACACCTCGAAAACGATTAGACAGACAAACAAATTCACATACAACGATATACACGCAAATATATATACAAAAAATCGATGAGGACTGACAGTATATAAATCAATCTCAGAATTTGCTGCCAACGTTGCAACGTTTGTGTCTTCTTACATGTCTTCTACGCTGAGACTAACGCAATGTGCTATGTAGACTCGATCAATACCAACGGAACCGCTTTTGGTATACGAACGCTATCCTAAGCAGACATCAGCAGCAGTAGCACGAGTGCTACCCATGCCAATTACATGCATCCTCCTGTGTTGCCATCCTCGTCGTGCCATTTGTGTCCACTGAGTGCAGAGAGAACACGATATATAGCAACGCAGACGAACGGACCTACGGATAAACAGACGGGCGGACGCGGCCTGGGCCCTCACGACAAGGCTGCGGCGGCAACAGGGACGACTACGGCGAAAATTACAATAAACTACACGCCAAAAGATCCCGGAAGTGGCCAATGTGGGACAAATTCAAACTCGTTCCAACGTTGCTCACTGTAGCTGCTGATAGGATGGGCAAAACTATGAATTGCTGGTCCTGAAGCTTTGATTAACCCGACGACAGCAGAATCGAACTTACGGCAACGGTAACTTGTCTTGTCCTAGAAATGGATCGATGAATACTGATCTGAAACGCTGTTGATGGTTAGCACAGCATAATCGGACCATTTCGTCAACATTTTCCTTTATTGACACTATCATAGGATAAATCTAATCATCATTTAATTATGTGTATCGTCATCGCATAAACGTCTTTTTTGCCCGGCAGGCGGCTAATGAAACCGATCCGAATAATTGCGATATATCTACGAAAGTAATCTTAACATGCATATGCCACAGATTCCTCTGAAATTATAAGTTAGCAAAATTAACTGCAACGTAATGGCTTTCAGTGCTTCCGTACGACAAATCGCTACGATATCATAAACTAATTTGTTGTTGTTTAATATTAATTAAGTACTTTTACAGTTCTTAAAATATGTGGTCGAAAGATGTAATTCAACGAGATGACGGCCGTTTCGCCGTCAAGGCGCACCAAACCTTTTTGTACAACAGATCCATTCGGTCAAACGCATGTTAATATAGGAATTTTCGACCAGGTCAGAAAAGGAAGAAGAAACATACTTCGATAAAGCGGCCTTAACCGTCCCCTGGCAACCAAAACTTATAAAATTCTCAAACTAAAAAGACCCGAAATCTCAACAAACTTCCACAAATCAAAACTTGGTTCGTGAATTTATAGAAATATTTGACAAAGATTATCAGAAGATCAGTGGAGTTGCTCTTATGCGTAGTGTTAGTCGAAGGGTATTTTCGGCTGCCTGAAAAGAAGAAAATCCATTGCCCGTTAATTTTAAAAATCAAACGGTGGTTAGTAAGAAAATCACTTCTACACTCAACCTTTCAATCTTTTTAAGAAGCCACTGATATCGTGCCAACTTGTCTTCTGTTCTTAGGCTTTGTTGAATAATTTTTGCGGTCTGCAAAAATATCATACACCATACATCTAGCCTAATAAGACTCACGTATCTGGCATCGTTATATATCAATACATAGAAATCATGCATACGTGCTTTGTCCGTAGCATCCACATATACTGCACTCTGAATTGTGACGCACGTCTCATCATCATAAAAACTAAACACCGACGCCTTGCCTGTTAATACAAGTGAAAATATCAAAAGCTATGTGTACGTTTATGCGTAGGCGGTTGGATGTTTGTTGTACTTGTAGCCTCCCCTGGTTCTCCCATAGAAATAACGATTACCGCGAGTAGCGCCAATGTCGACTGACGTGGCTTAAAAGCGGACTCGGGCCCGTCGAAGCCGGCTCCCGTTCAACCGGCTTTTTTAGTCGTCTCATGAAGTACCGACACTGCAGGCTGCCACCTCGGCCGCGGCGTTGACTTGCAATGTGTACCACTGGGTCAGGCGGGGACAGGGATTCGACGGAGCCGCTGCCACCGGGCGACGACGACGAAGCAATTGAACAAACGATGGTCCGGAGAGTTGGCAGCGCCAGTGGACGTAAAACAACGTTGGTGCCACCTTTCGATGCTCGAGTACTAGATCGCCGCATACGTAACATTGATTCCGCTTGTTAATGTCTGCTGTTTCTGCCTGACAGTAGTCGCCGGATGAAACACACGGTCCGTTCGCTAGCGCTGCGCTAATAGACCGGCTACATGTCGCCCCGAAATGGCTACTGGTGAACCAACCACGAACGTCGTCGGACCGATGAAACGCTTTGCCGACATTTGCTACACAGACAGGTATTACTACTACAAGTAGTCGATGGTTTCTGGGCGATGCGACCACTATGAGGGTACTTTTCGTCTTCTGGTCGTAGCACCAATCGCGGTAATGGCAGCGGCAGCCACTTTGAATACAGAATGAAACGCACGCTGATGTTGTCGTTTCTGGCATTTTCACAGATGAAGTAGATGCTAAAGGAGGGTGGCGAGAAGACAAGTAAAGAAGGACAGATACAGATGTCCACACGAGCTCTATTTATCTGTATCATACTACGGCCATCCACTGATAGTCGTAGCGACTAGAATATCTTCTAGCAACAGGCATACTATAGCACATACGAAGAAACAGTTCATAGACCATGTCGCATACGTGTACCAGTTGTTAATAGCGCAGTAAAAAATGAACAATACGGTCATCTTCGTAAATCATTCTTAAGACGTTTTGCTGCTAGGACACACTTAGGCCGCCTATGCCATAGTAAGTAGCAGTGAGGCTTTGTCAAAATCAATCTGTAGAAGAGCCAAGGGACGCCATTGGCCTTCCGCCTTCTAATATGGCCCAATTCGATCTGTGCAATTGATGTAAAGTCATCGAAAATTCATCAGAACAGTTCCAAAAAGCTAAAGGCGTTAAAATGCGATTATTTTAGCGGAAGATGAAATAGGGCTGACCGATTATTGTGACAGGGATTGGGTGTTGTCTGTATAAAATCTTGTTGTGCGAAATTCGGGCAATTTTTTTTTTTAAAAACAGCTTCTGCAAGTTCAGGGCATAGAGGTACTACAACACCTTTAATCTTTAAATGTCGTGTAATCTAGCTTTTTTTAGTATATGACCATATCGGTCAAAACTGCGTGATATTAGAAACTTCATACTTCTTAAAAATGACGAAACACCATATACGCGTATAATACTTCACTTTAAATCTATCTAATCCACTACTAATTCTTTAAAGAAAATCATCATTTCCAACTCAAGATATCTTCCTCGTTTTAAGTACGGGATTGAACACGAAGTTACGAAATTCGATGTAACTTTAACTAGACGGAGAACTGGTTTTCTGTTCGCCGCTTGTTGAAATAATAGCCTCGCATAATTTCCGGGCCACATAGCTTGCAGGCGGTCTCTAAGTGACCTCCCAAAGGTGAATCACGCCAGGAAATATTCGAGGACCACGCGTTACTCTTTTCCACCAATACGGTTGTACGGCGGACGACTTTGTGTGGCAAAGTCTGAGACGGTTTTCCAAAAGGCGCAGATCGATTGAACCGCGGAATCGTAATACTCTGAAATTCGGCCAGAAAAAAAAACCGAACGCTCAGTTATTCCTCCAGGGACCTCTGTTGGCTCTCAGCTGACATCTGTCTCTTTGCCGCCAAAAACGTTACTAATTGCAAGTTTCTTTCAATATTTTTGTTTCTGTGATTCGATCTTGAATAAAGCATCGCATGTTACTGTTTGTTAAGTAGTGTTTCTACGAGAGCATATACCGTAATAAAAACTTAGAGCAGATAGTTTAACATGAAATATAACACTGTAAGAAATCGATATTTAAAATAATTAGAAGACACCGTTTCCAGATACGATTGTTCGTGTAGCAAGTAATTGCTTTCCTCGGTTTTTCACCGGAAAATCAGTCGCTTATTCTTGCGTTCCTCCGCCGGGACCCACATACATATATGCCCGCAAGCATATTTGTGTCACTGAAAATCATTTCAACCACCAAATTTTAAGACTGTCATCGGACAAGCACTTCGTGTCATCGACGAAAAACAGTATTTAACATAACCCGCTTCCACAACGTCAGCGATTAAGCCTTGCGGTAGCTTCAGGGAAAAAGGTATCCAGCCGGTGACGGAATGTGTTAGCTCCCAGCTGGGCAGCTGGCGTTTCATCAAGACATAGCTTCGGCAAGGAACATGGGCCGACATGGCAGATTCTACAAAGTAGGCGCTAACGACGATCGACTTATACTTCTCTCAGGGCTTGCCAGGACTTTTCAGGAATTTCTTCAGCTGCAATATTAATAATGTATATGATTAGTTTTGAATAGAAAAGGAACCAAAGTGGTGACTGGACTATTTATTCTTCGTTCGATAGTATGTGATATTATTTGCAATGTACATTAGCTCTATATGAATTAACCTAAGCGTACATGGACTTGGTACTCGGAAACTTATCCTGCTTAACTTCAAATTCGGAAAGGTATATTCAATACTCATGTAAAAAAAAATTGCAGAGGAAAAAGCAAAGGCATTTCAACAGTTAGATCTACAAAAGAATAGACGCGATCTCCGAGTTTTGCACATTTACCTTATGACATGAAACTATTGAAGCGTACCGTTTAGCGCTTAGCCTATTCGGAATAAACTGGGATATCTTTTGGCAGACTGTTTATTATAGCGGGCATGAGCTTCTTCATCGTCTTTTATTGGCAAAAAAAATAGTTCTTCGCGGCACTTTCCGCAAGTGGCAGAAAATCAACTATTGCGCGGTGCTTTTGCCCCGGACAAGTTTTCCTAACTAAAATATAACTTATCCTATTGATTGTCTGTGCCGTTGTCTGACATCTTACGACTTTTGAAGCAACCCAAAATTAATTTCGTACGCCAAACGACAATAGCACAATGTGGCAATTTGGGGCAAGAATTATGGGGTTCCGATTTATATATTGGCTGCGATTTTCGGCTGAAATGTATTTACTGCCGATCGAATTGATCGGCCAGGTAAGTATCATCAGGCGATTCGTGTTTTTATTACTGAAGCATTGCTACACTTTTGCTCTTTGTGAGGCCTTTGATTTTTTTGGGACCTCTGGCCTACTGTCGGCAAGTGAGTTCTTTTTGTGTGGCGTGTTTGAGCAAGACTTTAAAGAGTCTAGACGTACCAGTATTGCTTAGGTTGAACTCGGTATTACTGCTGTCAAGAAGTTGCTCGCCAAGTTAACATTTTTAAAAACACAACTTGTGAGCGGCTTAGGGTTTCGAATAGAAACCATCAGCGAAGGAACTGAAAGTTAGATTATTACATATACACGCGTGTCTATATGCTTCTCTCAAAGATGTTTATGTCGACACTTACGGATATGTTGCAGATGTATCTCAACGAGCGAAGGAACGACATCGATTTGTGTGATTATATAAAAGGTTTACACACTCAACCCTTTTGAATACTAGCGTATTGAGCACGACAATATGAATATCCACTATTTAAGATTTTGTGTAAGGGTATATGTGATGCTCTACGTTCTAATAATGAATCTAGAATTTAAAGAATTACACTTATTAGAAAATGAGTTTCACTATGACGGCCCTTTTCATTCGGAGAGTGACTTTCCAATAGAAAGAAAAGCTCCCGTCACGAAAAGTTTAGGCTTTTATTAATATCTTGTACACATTTACGTTATTATTATTTTCAATAATGCTCCCTAAATAGGTTCGTACATAACGAATGTGGGCATCAACAGCGTTTATCATTATATCACGTGTTTTCAGCCTATAGCCTGTTAGATTTCATATTATACATTGATTTTTAGATTTGAAGCCTGGCATTCGGGTCCACATTACCTTTATTTATACCAATATAAACAAGAGCTCTGTCACTACAAGGAATGACTGTGTGTATGGGTATGATGCATCAGCGTCACATAGATGATGACACCCCAAGTAACTATTGATAAACAAGAGAGTTTTTTGTTGAACATAACCACGACAAGAAAAGGCCGTTCGTCAATACTGGCATTGTTCACGGCCTCAGGTTATATTAAACTCAAGCCAACTGTTCAACACTGAAACATGTTCACGTTATTGTTTTTGATTTTCCAGTTATCTTCCGTAATGTAAGGCGATAGTAACTGTTGTGTATTACAGCCGTTTGAGTCAAAAATGGAATTAGCTGGAAAAAATGGAAAAAGCTCGCTTTTTCGTGAACTGAGCAATCGGATACGGCAGGCTCAAGACGGCTAGAACGATGAAGATGTCAGAGACAAAAAAAAAACAAAGCAAATTCAACCAACACAGCTTCATAGTTCTTTTTAATAACGTGGTGCGTTACAGAAGTGTGACACGTAACGTTAATAGACAAATATCTGAAGCTAAATGTTTTACTAGTTCGCGAGCAGAGAACATCTCTTTAAGGGTATATCAACATGCAAATATATATAATGTTTTTCTTTAGGTTACAACGCTTTGTCAATTCAAGTTGCGCGTGATTTTAATTTTTCAAGTTAGCAGTTTCATAACTAAATGAATTATAATGAAAAATGGACGCTTACTATACATATAATTTTTGAACGTTGTAGGTGGGATAGCGGACATTTCACGCATAACGATGTCCTGTAAGGAACGAATTTAGAGTCACTGTGACATAATCGTGAGTTCATATGTATTGAGGGAAGCCAGGAAAACAAGTACACTTTGTTTATTTGGCATATGCGTACCAGGTCTGCCAATCGTAGTTATAGAAGTTGTTATAGTTTTTCTTGTCATTATCAATATCGTTACTACAAAACTAAAATATAAGACATTATCGAATGTAGAACATATGTGTCTGATCACAGATAAAATGTCACCTCTATGTAATATATAATGAAGTTAGTATTATGGATCTGCTGAAGGATCCTTGTTCTGTACTGAAGCTGCATTCTTCTCTAACGGCTACCTACTTCCAACCGCCTCATTATTTGATTTCATCACATCGGGGGTCCCTTAATCTATCCTCATTAACGTTAACTAAGGACAAACACTTTTCTTTTTAGTTATTTTTGCTTACTACTACTTCCATTGGTGGTGGTCGAGTTCTGCTGCTGCCGCTGATGCCGGCGTCGCTCGACGCAGCCGTCGTCAGCGACTTCTTCGTGCGTCGTGCTGCAGAGGAGCCAGTTCAGTAGCTTGTTCATGTTCGGTCTGCGGTGTCCGGGCCCTCTGAATGGCGTTGGCCTCCTCTCCACAGGCCGGCGTCAACCGGCGTAACTGGGTTGACGTTGCCGCTGGGTTAACTCTCAACGCCGGTCCCCCATCTTCATCATCGCCGCGTGTCTGCGTCGGCTTTCGTCCGCTTTAGCGCTGTCAGCGCGCAAGGGGCGGCGTATTTAGAGCCACCGGGCCTCACCTTGACACTCAGTTGGCGTTGAGCTATCGATCGTGCACTGTCGTGAACAGTTTCGTTTCTATATTTCGTGCTACTTGGAGTATCACTACCACGAGTGGTTGCACTTAACCTGAATCGTCGCGACCGCGCACCTGCACCACTACAAATCTTAAGCAATGAAGGCTTTCGCCCTTAGCGTGGTTCTGGGGGCGGCCCTTGTGGCAGCCCAGAATCATCAGGTCGTATATGACCCCAGTCTCTACCAGGCGGCTAATGTCAACCGACAGGGTGCAGGTACGAAAATGATTCAAACTCAATGGATTGATTTTGAGTACAGAGTTGATGTTGTCTCGTATCACTATTTTTGTTTGTGTCGGTATTCTCTTCGTGGCGTATGCGTTATCATTTGGAGAGGCAGCTTGATGCAGAATTCGTCGGTGCATTTTTAAATATGTCTGAAAAATGTGTGTTCAGTATTCTGTTAGCTGATCGGATGTGAAGAACCCAGTATCTGTATCGTCAGTTTCTATATTTAGTGATGGTGTGTCACTTCATTGGGATGTAGTGCCCCATTAGCCAACGTTCTGTTTCATACGTTTGTTCTTTGTCGTACATATATGAATATAGTGGTGTTTATGTTATGATCACTTATTTTGTATTATTAGGATACCGTTCGGAATAGGTTTGGTGAATGGAAACAATTGAAGAGGTCTAAAGAACAGAGTTGAGATCTTTAACAGCCCCCTTTTTAGAGATCGTTAAAAAAACGTAATTGTCTACCAAACAAACGAAAAACAGAAAATGTTCTTCGGGCGTAATGAAATCAAGTGTTCCCAGTTCCCAAGTAGTTCCCAGTTTATCTTTGTTATGCATAAATTCCTTTTTGAAACCCATTTATTTTATATTTATCGCTTCCTTTATGTTAAGTAGAGCACTGACTGGAGCTAGCTCCACCCCTGGGAATGTGTTCACTTTTCCCTCCTTTGCACTTGGTAAACTGGCTTTATGAAAGGTAGCATGCATGCTTTTAACAGCTCTACGTGCAGACATCAGATTCGCATGGATATTCATGATTTTTCGTTAACACTCGCTTCGCTGCTTTCCTCTGTAACAAAATGGGTGGTTCAAAGGGAATCGAAGATTTTGCTATGTGCATCATCGAAAACACGACCTCCGTACGATAGATCGCCGAGATGGTATGGCAATTTGAGACGGGTCTAGGGCGCTGGGGCTCCTGCCATAAGACCCACCGCTTTTACGAGCTTCTGCTTCCTCATATTTTCTGCTGCTTTTGCCCCTCACTCTGTGCTCTCTTACCCTGCCTTTGCCAAGACGTTTCAAACATTTAGCTATTTCTTCTGCTTCCAGGGTTTTCCTTGCTCCTCTTGCCTTTTAGTTTTTTGCCCTTCGCGCGGTTTTGTCTCCGCTATTCCAGGTGTCTTTTCCTTTCTTTTTAGCTCGTGTCCTTTCTATCATGCCTGCCTCTTGCTAGTTTGTCCATGCCCAGTTTTGATTGCTACCATTGAGAGTTTTTTTTAATATTTTTTTTTTAGTTTCTCTTTCTATAACAGCGGTAGCCTTGCTCGCCTGCTGGAAAGTATGTGAACGTTATCTGTGTGATTAGATTCAAACAGGACCGAAGAAGCGGTTCACGTTCGCTTCGTGAGTGCACCAAGCAGGTGTCCCGACGATCAGGGACAGTATCGAGGGTCCCCAGACTGAACCGCACGGGTGCCGCAACCCAATAATGTGCGCGTGACCGTGCATCTATTGCATTTCCGTTAGTGATGGCCCCGCCAATCTGAAATAAGAAAAGAAACGAACGTCGAGAATAAGGAGGGCGTCGACAAGAATTCACAAGAAGCCCTGGTCGTCGTATTCGCGACGATGAGTTCGACTCGTTCGCTTGCTACTAGACAGCGTTCTTTCACTACAACTATCCCAATTGCTTTTTTCGTCACTGTGATCACTCTCAGTTCCAGTAGGGAAGGCTGCAAGCATAAAACGTATCGCTTACATTCTCTTCGTCTGGAGAACCCTGTCGCAATTTGTCCCGTGGTAATTTGGTTCGTTCTAAGAACAAGTGAAGTTAGAAAACAGTCAAAGAAAAGAACGGTATGGTCCTGCCCAGGGCAACGATTAGCCCCACGATTCCGAACCGCTCGTGCTTCAGTCGTACTTCCCTATTCACAAACATCGTCATTCGCGTGACGATTCATCCGGCTGCCCAGTTACTCGGTTATTACATGGAAACAGACCAGTCAAGCAATGTGCGGCTTAGCTAGATTGTTAGTTGGCTTACGCCAGTCGTTTGCGCTACGCTATGCGCAGGAAGTACTGATCATATCTGCTCCACAAATCACAGCAGCAGGAGTTTCCTAACGACTATACCAACAGATGTATCTGTATCTGAGCATAATTATTTCCCTTATTTTCTTTGTCTTTCGCATCCCGTTCATTTCCTGTATTTCTGTATAGTTGAGCGTTTTCGCTGTTGTCGTTACTCTGCTGCTACTGTCGGCGCTTCCATGTATTAACGTTGTTGGTGCTAGCGTTGCCATTATCGTTGTTGTCGTTTCTGACGTCCGTATACGAAGGCTGCATCACAGATGCAGGTTTCTGCGTTTTGGGCCCTCGCGGCGCCAGCCGTATATTTTCGCTCTGTCGCTATCGCTATCGTTTCAGTTCTCTGTGGATCGACAAGCGCCAGCACGTAGTTATATCGCGGTGTATTTGGGGGCAGGTTGAGTAGTCGCTGCGGCGCACGCGGCTGACATATCGTAGTGGGGTACCTCCTTACGAAAAGTAGGTCATCTTAATAGAAGTGTCGATGGACCGGCGGATGAATCGTCGATTGGTTGAACAGACGATAAAGTTCGATGACCTCTCTCTGCCTCACTTCGTGTGGATGCTTTCGCTTGTTGCTGGTCTTCGTCTAGTTCTCGTTCTTCATATGTTTTTCTCCCCATTGGTGACCCCTCTCCGTTTTATCTTGTCTCCCCTTGACGGCCTTTCTGACACGAACAATGACGACGAAGACAACGACAACAACAACAACGGCATGTTGTGGTATGACGGTAGCATTTGTTGGCAGGCACGCACTCAAACGAGCTGGATCCAACATAGGTGGCGCTATGCGATGGAGGCATAGCACTTTGTCTACCTGAGGCACATGCCTTTCATTTCGTCACATGCACCCGTATGTCGGCTTGTACATGCGAACGATGTGTGACCCTTTTCGTTTTCGTAAACCACGATTCAAATCGATTGGAGCGACACAGAGTAATTCCGGCAACGGGAAAGTATATATACATATATATATATATATAGGGAGAGGGAGAGAGAAGGTGAGTGGAGAGTTTTGGCCATTACATAACGCAGTGATATGCGAAAACGTTCCGCTGGTTCGAAACATCGAAATCCGTCTTGTCAATAAACTAGATAGCGATTCAATGAGAATCTGACAAGCGTTCGTCGATCAATTTGGCCTGATTGCTATTGATCATCCTTTGATAGCCCTGTCTTGCCACCTTTGCTAGCGCTGCGTAGAAATCAACTATTTCGAACAGGATGAATGTCCACATGCTATATCTATCCAGCCTATATCTTCTTGTTGTAAGGCCCTTGTCGGCCTGACTGCCAAAGTGGGTGTCATTGTTCTCATTGTGGCTGTATTTACACAAACATTTTATTCCGACTATCGAAGAAAATTATCGAGCAAACACTGCCACTACCCGCACTCGCCGTTATAAGCCAATGCTTCCGGCGGTGCTGGTCGAGAGCATCTCTGAAACTGTCCTTCGCTCGTTTGCTTGATTGTGCCCAGTCGCAGGTAGCCCGGTTTCTTCTGTTAGGCTATGGATCGAAAATGTAGATCAAGCCATTGGCGTTAGCTTGCCAGCATTCGGCTGCCAGCTTTGCCAACGTCGAAGGGAATACGTAACAGCGCAGCAGATTGCTCAGGGCAATTTTTCCTATGCCCAACCAAACGGAAGATCCGAATATTCTCCGCTGATCGCTTTGACGGTGTCGCTCGGGGAGTTCAATGTTCGATAGGACAGCTGGATAACGCGATGTTGATTTGCAATCCATGAATACCTTCCGACTACATTGCGCGATGTGTCTGTGACGGCGGGAAACAGGGCGCATATCCGTCCCTATATGTAAATCTGTATGGGCACGTGACTTCGAACCAGATCGGGTTAAATAATTACTATGTCAAAATTGCTATAGGAAAGACAAATCTTTACTTGCAGGCTCGTGACCTGTAATCATGTTTATCTAGTCGAGCTATTCTGTTTCTCCAATTTTCGAGAAGTCGATTTCCCTACAAGATATTTCTAGTTTAGCCTTTGCGGCAAAGGGCGCTATGCGTTCCTTAGAGCAGCCTTTAGGCAGAGTCATTATAGGTAGGTACAGTGATTCCTTCTACCCACTTCTGACAGATGATTGGTCAGCGTTTCGATTTGTGTGCGCTCTAAGAGACGTAGTTGGAACATGCATATATGCTGGTTGCACATTTCGAGTTTTCTCTGTCCAAAACGAACAGACACTGCTGAGCGTAACAACAAGAATACGTACGTGCCAAACATATGCACCTACTATATTTCTCTATGGAATTAAAGGCAGTATGTAGTAGGCGTCTCTAGATAATTGTGCTTACGGTAATCAATACGAGCTCAAATGAACTTAAATAGACTGTATGTGAACTAATTGATAGAAGTAGTCAATCAAGGGAAGATACAAAACGAGTTTGTAGATTTTTCAGCTTGTATATTCACAGTCATATTGTGTTCGTTCATCATGTTATGTTACACACAAGACAATTTACCAATTATGGTAAATTTCTGTTTTCGTTTATGTACCTTTTTCTTTTGTCTTCCCTTCTCCGTTAAGCTTCAGGTGGTTTCCTGTCAATGCTCGGTTCGGGAGCTTCGGGTCTCATGAACACAATCGCTGCCAGTTTACCAAACATGCTCACGAATGCTTTGCCAGCACTCGCTGTGCTTGGTTTAGGCGGGCTGCTGCTTCCTCTGCTCGGAGTATCACTCTTCCTTCGAGAAGGTCAGAAGAGGACTTTCTCCCTGCCGACAATTAATCCGGCCATTCTAGAAGGTATTGCTGACGTTCTTGACCGCGTCTCAAAGGCCATCGAGCAGGGCGAGAAAAAATATGGCAAGAACTAATGGATTTCAGAAGCCTCACAATAACAGTCATATATAGAAATAAAGTACCAACCAAGTGAGTACACCAAACCGGTACAACCCTGCCAAACATAGAAAACATCTTTCTCGGCCTGACGCTTGCTGATGCGGAATGTTGCTAAGTACAATTAAAGCCAACGAAGCAGCCCTGAGATATTACTGAGACTTACTGCAAGATTTTGTTTTGCTGCGAGACTATGTCCCATTCATTGCCATATTAGATGTCATGTCCATCATCGACCCACAACAAAAATGAAACATAATTACATTTAAACATCCACTTTAGCCAAACGTTATCTAAACCTGCCTGTGTGATAACCCTTAATCCAGACACTGCGTTCTCCTCGACCACGTTATTTTCCTCGTACTCAAAATTATCACGTTTCTTCTCCTATATAACTAATAGCAATGAATCGCCTCTATGTTTTTGTGTATTAAAGACACACGGGAAAATACAGCAACGTACTTCGTTGCGTGTCAGACTTATCTCATCGTAGAATATCTTATTATTCGTTTTTTTTTCAGTTGGACTCCCTGGGACTCGTTTAGCTCGTTTTATCAATTTGCATTTTTCTAATACAAACCGACGCATACCCAAAGCTGTTCAGTGTTCTCAAACTTTTCTGTCTCACCCGCGCGCCTTTACCGCTGCCTTCAAGGCAGGAGAAAGCTTATCTACTAGTTCATCAAATCACTGATTTCCTTCTTACTCGTCCATTCTTTACGCCATCATAGCTTCCGTTTTAGATTCTACGCTCGCGCATCTCATCACTTATTTATTGACCTCCGCTCAACTCCAAGATGTTTATTTATTATTATGTAAGCTAATGTAAAAATATGAATAAATCAATCGAATGAACCATGATACGGCGACGAGTCATCATTTACAAACTTATATATATATATATATATAGGTTTACCTATGTATATTCAAACGCTATTTTTACACTATACATGTAATGGACATCTTAGAAATGACCGCCTGTTCAATGTGAAAAGCCATATTAAGGCTTCGTGACCTATTGACCCGTATTGTCCTAGTGAAATCTGTGCACGTAAAAAATAAACCTAAAAGTATATTTAACTGTGTATGCCACAAAAACATGAAGTGTATCACAACTTATACCGCTATGCTATTGAGGCGTCATTTATTTTATAGATTTTCAATTTATTACTTCTATGATAAGTGCACCCTTGTAGCGCACTGGATCTAGGTACACTCCACCCATCAACAGCAGCCTGTAAACGGCAGTCTGAAATGTAAACTTTGTTTTTAACTAGCGAGGACCTAAAATACAAATTATACCAGTTAATTTTTGTTTGGCGAATGAATAATTCGTAAATATGAAAAATTAACTCCTTTCAAGAACAACGGCTCTTTCAATGGGACTAATACAAACTCTTGAAGAAAACAAGCTATGTAATTTAACACACAACGTTGTTGCTTCAGCCTGACACAAGTTAGACAAAAAAATTTTGCTCATTTAATAAAACGTCAGTACCATTTTTGTAGTGGGCTCTAATTCTTGCCACTTGCATCTGCCGCCAAAAAAAAGCTGTCAAGGACGGAGTTGGTCTGCTGCTCGCCTTATGATGTTACAATGTATATCACACATTTGTAAGATCGGAGGGACATTTTACAACTTGTTATCATAGACTTATAACAGTCTTTATTTTTGTAATTATTAGACGGTCTTTGTCACGCGCAGAATTATTCAAATGTGGAGACATTTATTAAGTCTATTTTTATCATTATAATTCAGTATTACTTCATTACGCTTACTTCGCATTCGGTAGGGTTAGACCTCATAGGCAGCCTGCTTGCTCTCAGTATTAGGTGCTAAACTACTCGCTACCTAGATCTGGTTCGTACTTGGCACACTGTGCTCTAAATCGGCTTGGCAGATTCTGGCACCTGGTCCCTGCCGAATGCACGACCAACATCCATGACATAGTATGATACATATACGAACCAACTAATCCATTCTAATACATCACATTCTAGAACATCCAGTAACAAGTGTTGGAGAGGGCATTCTCTTTGTGTTCTTCTGATTTCTACTTTCAATCGACAATCGACAATCGACAATCGACAAAGACAAACATTTCCTCAAAGATCCCTCTTGAAACTCTTTTTGGTCACGGGGAATCCCTACACGCGGTCCTTAGTGGTTCTGTTCGGCGGACATCGTCATATGTTATGGTAAATATACTCTTCTTCTTAAAATACGGATTCCTCAATGTCATAACGGGACCACCGCCGATCCCCGAGTCCGAATCATCTTCAGAAACGTCAGTTTTTCTGCCTTTCACAACAGTGTCGCGACTGAAGCGAAAACCCCGCGTTGAGTCTGAAGCGGCAGATACCGACGTCATCTTGTTGGTGGTGGCCACATCTGTTATTTCGCTTTGGGCTATCACACTCGAATCGCGACCCTCTTTCAGAAAATCATCCGTTATGTCCTTATTGTTTTGAATCACTTGCTTGTTGTTGTTGTTGTTGTTAATATTATTCCAGTTGTTTATATTACAAACGTTGTTGTTATCGCTACTGGCAGGCCGTGGCAACGTTGGCTTAAGTGGCGTAGATGTGACTGGCATATCATCCGAGCTGCGCAAATCTGCATTTATACCAACACACACAATTATTATAGCAGACATAGAATTAGTTGTGCTGTCGACGCGATCTAAGTTGTGTTCGACGTTAATCAAAAAATAAAAGGGGGAATAACAAAAAGCGTCTAAAAATAATAGTTAATGTGAACGTACTATTAATCCGATGACGTTGATAAAGTCCTCTTCTTTCCTCACCAAAACTGACAGACTTCTGCTCACTTTCGCTGGCAACACTTGTTCCTGATGTCGGATATTTCTCATTAGCCCCTGTTTGTCCTGACGCTTGTTGCTGTTGAGAGTCCTGTTTGTGTTGCGGCTGTTGCTGATGCCCTACAATTTTCTCTTTCCGATTTTGATTACGAACGGTTCTGGATCGGGCTAAACATTGCTTAAGTTCCTCATTGAAGTGCTCGTCCGCTGAAACTAACAAGAAGAGGCAGACACGTTCACTTAGACTGTCCCATTGCGAAGTGACCAATCTCAAATGTATAACTGATTAAAAATGTTCTTATGCAGTTTGAAAAGTTGAAGCACAAATTCTATTGTGCGATAAACACGTACCCGCAGGAAATCTTCTGCTAAAGGTATTGCTCTATTTTTTTATATTATATTGTCGTGTTAAAGATATGCGTGATATAGCGACTCTAGTCGGTACTACATGAACTGCTACTGGTACAACAATCCATGCTGTAAATATATATTGAAGAATGAGGAAAAATTAGTTTTTAGAGGGAAAAAACAAAAAAAATTATGTATCATTAATACGCTTCCATGATAGTATATTCTTACCGGCGATGGTTGCGTCAAACGAATCTAACGAGTTAAGCTCTTCGTTTTTCGCTGGTGCTGGAGGCGTTTTGATATAGAGGATTTCAGTTTTTTTAGGCTCCATTCGCCTTTCTTCAAAGAAGCAATCACTTTCGAGATCACTACGTTTATTATCCGTAGGACGGACTCTCCTTTGCCTGAAATTGTATGCGTATATTTACATATAGTAGAAAAATGATCGCAGTAATACGTATTTTTTCTCCAACTTGTCTGCACACGGTTCTCCGATGAGAGAAGCTTTCCTCCGACGGAAGGTTGTCGCAAAGGTTACAGTTAAACTAGTATCTTTAGATAGCATTATTGTATAATTAATGCATATAGTTATAGATTCGTGAAGTACCGTCTTCTTGGTAAGAAATTCGTATGGTTGCTCTGCGTCAGGGAAGCGGCTAAATCGCTAAGCGAGTCTTCACGATCACGAAACCTTCCATCGGGTAGGATTTTTTTAATAAGCACGTAAGAGCCTACTCTGCGTACATCGGCTCCTGCATCACCTCCCCTTTGCTGGCCCTTTCGTTGGCCCCGTTGTCGTCGTAGTTCCCTGTGATCAAATGAATAAGTATTCGGCCGTTTGAAAGTTTCTTTGTAGCCACCTACGATTATCCAACAGACTCGAGCAGATAATGTTAACTATGCATGCCTGTCATATATTTTTTTTATAACTCTTTAAATACTTATAATGAAATAAATATAGTTTCCTCGGTCAGCAAAATCAATTAGTTCAAAGGCTAAATATCAATTATCTGAAATCAAAGTAGGTTCTAATTGTATCAATTTATTAGTTTAATCAATAGGCATAGAAACCTAAAAGCTTTTTTCTGTTTAAATGGAAGGAGAGTCATTGTTACTTGAGTATATATCGATGGCGACTATATGAATCCTCGGCATTTTCGTTGTCGTCCGTTTCTTCATAGAGGGGGGCTTCACGGTGATCGGCGGCTCTCGTCACGACACTGCGTTGGTCACTGCGGTTTAAGGATGACCTGAAACGAAAGCCAAACGAAGTTTTACAGTAACCTTTTAACAACATTGTTTGTCAAACACTAATAGACTGTATTTATATAACGGCAGCTTCCATATGTCAAACATTTTTATACGGGGTAAAGCGGTAGCTGGTCGAGTTAGTTTCTCCTCCCCTGATAACGTTTATTTATCAAGAATTTTATGGACACTTCCCTGCTTCCTCGTGTCCTTTGATGGGTTTGCAATTATGTATTCTGAAAGCAAAGAAAAAGCTTGCAGCTAGCAAACTCACCTGTATGACTTGTCCAACGTGTTATTGGCATTACTTCGCCGACCTGTGCTTGGATCGATTAAAATAGAGGTGTCCGCCTGCATGGCATGGTCTCTAAGAGAACAAAAATTATAAATGTTATAAATGGTAAATGTTTGTATGTAAAAAAAAAAAGGCATCATCAACTTCATAAATATACAGGATGTATATTGACTATTGGCCTACACGAGTAGGCACAGCTTGATAAGGCATACATGCAGTGAGCTGAAGAATATCAGCATGATTAAATTTCGCAATAATTTCAAAGTAAGAGGGCAGTGAATTTTTTTCTGGAAGCCTGCTTTTTTCTGGTAACGATAACAGTTTAAATCGCAACGCTATTCCGAATACAGTATATCATTGCATGTTCACTAAATTGCTAAAGCTAAAGATAGAAGAAAAACTATAAACACCTTTGTAAGGTGTTGCTATGAGACATGTAGGACTGGTCGTATCCGAGATGCGATGGATGTTGTGTAAGGGGTGGCGACGGAAGACCGAAGTTTGATTGATGCTTGTAGTCGATTGCAGGCACAGATGTTGTTCGGAAAGAATTTCTCCAGCAGCAGCAAAGGAGACAAACAAGTAGAATCAGTATGGCTAGCAGAAAGCACACGACGAGAATCCATAAAATCCGTTCGTCGATACCTGTATGCATTACTTCCTGCTGGTAAAAGATACTCTAGACTTAGTACAGTTTAGACGAGTGCGTTATTGGCAACGAATGCGGAAGTTGTTGGAAGAAGCTTGTTGGAAAACAAAGAAATTACCTAGTAGGCATTGCGCCTTGTCCTCCAAACAATGACCGTAGGATAGTACCCACTAAACCAGACCACACAAGTTTTTAAGTTATTATAGATATCATACAATATGACAGCCGATAGAGAGATTCATACGAAGTTGTTGTTAGTATATTTTAATTCATAGTAATAACATTTGGTTTACTGCACTTTGGCAATATTTTACAATGATCTATGGAACAAACAGGCTGGTAGGTTTGGGCTTTACCTGTTGCTTGTGGACAGAGTCCCTGTTGCTCGATGAAGGCAGTAATTTACTTCCTCGTCCACTGCCCCATTCAGCGTCAATGTCGCTATGACTACCATTTGTAGCACCACTGCCTCCGCCGGCCTGATCGTTGGTGTCCCTGTCACTGTGGTCCTTCCCAAAATCGACTTCAGATCCTGTACTGCCGCTATTACCGCTTTTTGGTCCGTCGACACTGGAACCATCTACAGTTGATTCCGGCTTAGGTCGTACAAGGCCTTCAGCGAGAACTTTTAGAAACCACAGAGCCTCGTTAAGGTCAACACGACGTTGATCATACGTTGCTTGGGTCTCGATCAATGAACTGTAAGATTAAACAGGGGTCTGTTTGAGACGAATTCAATGAACGACTCATTAAAGCCAAGCGCTAATCAGTCGGTTCGGAGTTAAATAAGCATCCTTTTTTGCACAGAGTGGGGCTCTCAGCTTACGGGGCACGAGATGCTTGGCGTACCGATGAATTCACTGATCATTTTAGCTAACGCTACAAATGCACAGAACACACCCCCACAAATTGATAAGCAGCTTTCTCAGTCGCATTTTTTGCAGCATTTGACTCTCACGAATAAGCAAATAATTTTCATTAGGATTTTCCCATTTGTAATACTGGTCTATATATCCATTTAACGATTTGCTTCCATTAGAGAATTTCAAAATTATAATCGCTCTTAGTTTGTAGCGCTTAGTCAATATATTATCTAAAAGTCATGTCACCGAACAATCCCGCCCTACTTATATCAACTTATCTTCATTCGACATCAACGTAGCTCGCAGCAATAGGCTAGCAAATAACTTACGCATTTCTGGAGGAGTCATTATAGGTCCCGACATTGACAATGGAAACTTGTGCTCCGAAAAGGTCAGAGAGGCCCTTTTCATATCGGGACCTCTCTGACTGGATATCGAAAGACGAACGCGGAATCACCACGGCCAAGCTGCGTGTAAGGTACTCCTGCAAAAACCACATCATTCATAGATGTTCACGAAAATTAAAACATTCAACATAAAAATATTTTTCAGCTCAATTATACGTTTACAAGATCTCCTACAAAATACTTACGACATCACCTATGGATCACATATGGATAAATAAATGGATACTATCTGTCTCAACGCTTTCCTGCAAATGCCAAAGGATGGGGTCGTCCTAATAGAAACAAGTTGAGCGTGACATGTTCTATTCATTATACGAATAGATATGCCGCGTACTAATTATGGGCTAGGTGTCGCTAGTGGCGTATTCTTTGTCTTCCCTTGCCGTCTTCCTAATCTTCGATAGATGGATACTACGATTCTATTTAAGCAGCGGTACTTCATAATACTTCAGTGCAGCGTGCAACCTTGAAGCGGCTATTTATTCAACAGACACAGCTGTAATATACGCATATTGCACAGAAACAGTGAATAGATTAGGATAGGCATTCCATAGTAAACCATGTAATCTGCTGTGACACGTGGTGTAGGCCACTAATGCTGGTGGCAGCAACGGAAGCGGCTTGAGCACCAAATTAACGATACGACTCTGTCGAGTTTAGTTGTCCTATTCTTTAGTTCGCTAAATACACAGGTTCTATGCTATAGATTCAGAGGCTAGAGCAAGGCCATATGCTTAAACGTGAACCAGGCCCCGAAGATACCAGGCAAATAAATCTACAAGCTATACACAGCGTGACCGCAGTCTGTAGTTTGCGGCGCCTGTTTCGATCCAGAATTAGAATTCTAGTGGCGACGCTCATATGCGTTGCTCCGAGCCTTAAAGGTTAAATGAGGGTATTAGCTAACGATGAGCTATGAAAAGGCTAACCGATGGGATGGGTATATATGAAAGCATACTTAGCCGCTGGCGGAATACAAATCAGCTGCTCTAAGAAGGTTTCCTTCCCATTTGTTTACATCAGCGATACTGTAATACCAACAGGAAATGTCGGGAGGCTTAGAAAATTCGAAAATAAGAAGGAGACGCTGAAGTTCTTCTAGCTATCATCGTTTTCATATCTTGCGCATAACGCAAGACATACAGAAAATGCCAGTTTCATCGTGAATCTATAGAAAAATAGATACTACCCTAAATCGTGCCAATTCAAACTGGACTTTTTTTTTACCATCTGTTTGGGTAGACCCCTTCAGCGTTCTGTTGCGGCTGTACATAGTACGATTGCTAAAATAGTGCTTGAAGCTGGAGGCTAAAATAACGTAAACTAGCAGCTGTGTTGCAAGGTCGGAACCAGGATCGTTCAGCTCTAAGTTTACTGGCGGGACGCGGCTTGCGGTCACTGTGTAATAAGGGTTTCGTTAACACGTTCCGGATATGTTTAAGACCTGAACAAAAATATCACTACAGGCTGTTTGGCCCATTAATGCTTCGCAGAAATCTGCTTGGTTGTCCACCTGTAATTGTTAACGCGGCTTACGGAAACATACTTATCCCAATTCAAGCGCTAGCGCGCAGCTCTCACACAATCCAAGTGAACGAAGCTTTGTCACTCTATAGTGTGCATAAATGTATATACTTCCCAGTAAAAAGATTATTATTTCGAGACATTCCCCGCTATCATATACTGCAAATGTTCACGTACAATGCTGAGATCCAAAAAAAGAAGCTTAAAATTTGCAGGCACAGAGGTTTTCCCGATTAACGTTTCCAAATGTTCTTTCCCTTTTTGTGCTCTTCTTGGTGACAGCCTCAACATGGTCGCTTCTCGGCTCTATACTGCCCTGTCGGGGTACTGCGTTTAGCATACACCGCAACAGGAGACGCAGCACTGTATCTTACCATCATCTTTTTCTTCCATCTGCCCGCAAATTCCAACAGGCATTTTTTCAGGTTTTAGCAACAATTAACCATTCACATAGCCGTCACCTTGCTGTTGGCTCGTCATCGTTCGCAGGCAGACCCAAGGTCCAATAGGTGAGGCTTAAAGGAGGATAAAGCATAGAAGGGGCTTTAAGATCATTTAGAGACCCATCGCGACTCCTACTTGTGCCAACGTGACCTGCGCTGTTTCTCAAATCGGGGATATCTTGGGAAGGAAAAGAGGCCCGGCCTTATTCCCAAAGCCGCTGAAAATTCGTTCATTTAAAAAAATAGCTGTAAAAAGGGGAACGTGACACAGCGCGTCTTTTCAAGATCGCAAACTACGAGCTGCTTACTACGTATTCTTACAGCGTATTCAGCGCGAGAAAAACGGCAAGAAATGCTCTAGACAAAGGCAGGTAATGTTTATCGGAGAGAATCATCTACGTTCGCTCTTTGATTTTATCAAGGGAAACAGATGTTTGAATCGCGTAAGTGCATGGAAAAGCATTGAGCAGGAAGGAATACAGTTTGCCCTTATGAGCACACCTGTGTTATCATCACGCCAATGTACGAATGGTCCTTGTACGCCCGCTCAAGTTTTCCTAAATAGTAACATCCTGATAAAGAATAGAAGCATAAATATTAAATCGATACAATACGAAAACAGCCGCAGTTTATGTTTTAAACTGAAGTTATTTCAACTTATATAAATTATTTCTTATCTGAGTCGTTAAGGGCCAGTAGAGGTGTGCTTTCTGCTACACAATCAAGTAAACATGTTTGTGCTTCCTGATAGTGCTATTTATGTCTAAAAATAAATCGTCTCACTCAACGATAACTTACTTGGCTGTGAATGTAGATGGAAACTGTTGACGTTTGTATGGGGATACCGTTATCATGGGCCCGAACGACCAATTTGATTGTTCTCGATACCGCCGACAATGGTTCCTAAGATTTAGTATTAAGTAATAAAATGTAAGAAACATCCCCAGTTCATTAAAGAAATGTATACTCCCTTGGAGATAGCGTTACGAATCAAACTACAATAGCAACATTATTTCCTATCTAATATTCTACAATATGTGTTATCAGGTTTGAAACGCTATGCGAGTGTTGACAGAGGTGGGTGATCCAAATAAGGCTTTATGAGAAAAATAGAAAGCTGTAGAAAAAAGCTCTGATTCTATAGGGTAGTGTTTAGGTGTGATTGTACCAGATTGCAAATAGGGTTGGCCATGTCCAGTTTACCCAACCAGTTGTAAGTATTTTCGTTTTTATACTTCCGGCGTCAGAATCGTGACCGTGAGAACCACTATTGGCATTTGCCATTATCCCATGTACGAGAAAGCTCAAAAAGACCCTTTGTTATGTGTTAGCACGTTAAAGCACTTTGTACATTGTTCTAAATTTAGTCTTTTTTTGCTATCCTTTATCTGTCGAACTATGCAAGTATGCTGACAAAGCTATGTGAACTTCAGGTGGCATGCCACCATTGAAAGATACGTTCCCAATAGTTTAAGATTTGACACCCACAATTTGACCTGCCCCGCCGTACTAGCATCGTAGTACAATGTCCTCGTACAGCTGCCCTACACAGAATATGCTCAATGCCTCATCAGCTAATAGTGCTTGTGTTTTTCTCCTTCTTTATCCGCTTCGTACATTTTCTGTATCTTATGCTGCCTGCCTTACGTAAACTAAACGACAATGTGTCCACTCGAGTACGTACTCGACAGTCCCTTCCTTACTTGACCTATGTGCAAGTTACTACCTCGTGTTAATTGCTTTATCATATCGCCGCGGTCATTCTCCCCGTTGTGATTTATTTCTCATCCTACCACCCTATTCATCGCGTGCAGTCGGTTGGTAAAGCATGCTCCTTTTTCTGTACGTATATATACAGGTAACCTGCGGCCGGAGAGGAAGGCAGCGAAAGCAGACGGCTCTCGTGTTGATTCTATTAGCCTAACAACACCCTTGAAATATGTTCTGTCATTTGCCAGTTGTCTGAAGTCCATCATCATTACTATCAGCAGCACAAGCAATGGGATGAAACTGGACCGATAAGCATTTGTGTTTGTGGATAAAAGGCTTAAATGAGCTAGTTGCGATATTGTGGCTGTTTTTCCCTTGTATAATATAATTACTTGACACCAAAAGTACCAAAAGGTACAAAAAGCGCTATTCTCTCAACAGTGTCCAAATTACTCTGATCCGCCACTGACTCTCAAACATTATCGTCCTTGATAAGAGAAAGTGGGAGAGGCATATAGATATGTAAGTGCTGTAAACTTTAAATGCTGAAAAAGTAAGTCGTAATTGTATCAAATCTCGAGATATTACAGTTAGCTGTAGACAAGTATCTGTTGAATTGAATTAAGTTGAGGGGTACGTAAAACTTATATAATAATAAGCAATACGCACGATTTAAGCTGGTGATCTATCTACAGTGTTCAATGACGATGCGGTGATACAAAACCTTGAGCACGATGAGTCCCTGCTGGGGCTCAATAATAAATTTGTCCTCAAAGTTGCCTGAGATGATTTCGTAGGTGACGTCGCTGTTTGGACCTGGACTATCTGTATCCACAGCCTGTTGATAACAAATAATAATGAGATAAATAAATGCCAGAATCTTTTATCACATGCGAGCAGTAAACTATCTTTTTTGGTCATGAGAATATTTCCTATATATTCGAAATTGCTGACACAAATAGTAGATAGGTAATTTCCATTCTTTTATATGTGTTTAAGTTCGTTTACCTAGGTATGCAACCTATATTTTTTGTTGAATTCTATGCCTGCTCTACGCATTGCTGCCTTTTGTCCTGAGGAATAGTCAGCTTATGTTTCAAAGGGAAATGACCGTATACAAGATGTCAGACAAAGCAATGCAATCGATTTTATCGGAAAATGATACTTGTTCGAAGTTATCTTACGTCTTATTCTTAAGATAAACTTATATGAATCGATTTGTGTGATGCAAACCAATGATAGTGATTTGATTTTCCGGTCGGCCACGACTGTTTTCCATGGCGATCATTTACCGCGACCAAAAGGCATGATAGTATCTACCTTTTATCTCTTTTATTCCGTTCGTCTATACCAATTTTATTCATGATATTGTTTCGTATGCACGTCATTCCTATAAGAACCTGTAGAGCCCGACAAGATATTAATCTATGGTAGATAGCCTGTTTGTCTCTTGCTTTGGATCAAGGGCGAAATATTTCGAACTTAACTTACCATATAATATAATGCATTACCTAAAATCTAGATAACGGTAATAATTAACTAGGCATTAATTTGTCTATATTAAAAAAAATATCCTGTATAGGAAAAAAAAATAGATTATAGATAGTAGTTAAAAGTGCGCTCATTACCTTTACGACAAGTGGCTGAGTGAAATTATCCTTTGCCGAGGTTAAAACCGCATCGTAACGCGGTTGGAGAAATATCGGCGTATTGTCGTTTGCATCGTCGACCACTACGCGTAACTGCGCTAACGTCTAGTACAGGCAGCGATAATAATAAACCACTGTCAGTCTAAAAACAGGCCCAGCCTCCTCGCATTGTTAATTTAGGTTGACGGATTATGCAGTCCGTCGGCGGTCAATATACCGACCGACTCTCTTGTGCAGCTACAATGAATCTGGCGAAACAGACTCAATCTCATGCCTCTACATTGCAGACTAAAAGTTCTTTTGTCGGGTTAAAATTGATTGCGTACAATCTAATTGAGCCTGCCGATTGTCTTCTAAGACCTACCTTGTGACCGTTTCCATCCTCATCGCGCGCTTCAACAGCTAATAGGTATTCAGCTATCTTCTCGCGATCAAGACCCCGCGAGCTTACTAATGTAATGCTGCCCGTTTGAGGATCGAGCGCAAAACTGCAACACAAAAACTCTAATCAGTCTTTATGGAAGCACATGATATAGTTTTGATGTGAAATCTTGTCAAACGTTTCATCCGACTTTGAAAAATCTGCATCCAAAACAGCTTCCGGGTTGGTGGAGGCGCTTACTATAGGTCTACCATGCCCAATACATCTCAAATAATTTTTTAAATTTTTGGCAAGCGTTTGTTTTTTTCTGATAGAGAATGCATTGGCGCATTTCCCTCCTTCGCTCACCTGCTCGCCATTGGTCCCAATAATGCTGTGTACCGAACCTTTCCGTGAAGTCCACTGTCCTCGTCTGTTGCCTAAAATGGTTGTTTCACAATAACAGAAAACATACAATGATACTAGGTTGTACAATTCTGAACGTGTCATAGTTAACAATTGACTACTCATGACAGGATTAATGTGGAAGAAGGTGAAAATCCGCTCCTAATTTTCCTACTATTCGCAATCCGCACAACAATGATTCTCGAAACATAATATCGTGCAGCTGCTTATTACTGTTCCCAGATTTTTAAATGAGTCAATTGAAAATTATCAAATATACTCGCTAGTAATCAATGAACCCCATTGCCAGATTCCGATAGTTAACTTTAAGGGGTCGTCGCTCATTGAAATTGGTGGACGTCAGCCTGCTGACGTTTCACAGATGTTACTGGTACACTTTCCATTTTCGTCCGTTGGTGCGCGCGAGATGTTCCACGATTCAACTATTCTCTGTACGCGATCTAAACTCTACATACGAAGAAATCCCAGCGTTACAACCCTTGATTTAGCTCGCCGTATTGTGTATCACCGAATCGACTCCCTGCCGTCGTCCTCGTCGGTAGCAACAACGGCGGTGTTGCCGCCAGTCTAGGAGGGAAAACTCGTTCGTGGCACCTTTATAGAGTTTCTCCCTCTGACAGGGGAATAACGGAAGTGGCGGCTACCACTGCGCGCTGATGGCTTTGAGGATAACTAGATGCACTAGTTGAGTTCACTACAATATGCCTGACTCTTCATCTCTGACTTAATCACCTGAGCGTCGGCATTACGGTGCAGTGCGGTGACGCGACGGCTTCGCACGGCGCAGGAAATGCGGCCATGCGTTCCGCGGCTAACGGAACGCAGACCAATGCTGCCATTTGTATCTCATTCGCCATTGTTTCACCTTTGACGGCATCTTTGGCTGCTGTGTGGCCGAGCGGGTTGAGTTTAACTTGGAAAATGTTGCTTCTACCGTCATTTCTATGGAGGAAAACAGAGGGAACAACAAGAGGAAAGGCGCAGAGAGCTCATAGAATTGATGAACCATTATCTATGCTAATCGCCTGTATCCCCTCAAACTTATCCGTGAGATGTGTCATGATGCTCAGAAAAAGCTCCAAAGTGGGGTTAGCACTACTGTTTCTACTGCAACAGCGAGTTTGTCCTTCAAACAGGTGCTGACAACGATGCATTCGCTGACTCGTACTGATGCCGCATGGTTCAACGAGGGACGGAAGTGCAGCTGTGCAGAGCTTGACACGACGATGTAGGAACGATTGAGTTGGATGAAGAAGGGGTGAATGATTTTTGCTCCAGCCTCATCATTAGGTCTCACACCGCAGTTAAACCGTTACTCATCGTCGTCTCGTCACCGCCGTCGTTATCGGAATTAATCACGATGACAATAATACGGCTGTGCAGCACCATTATAACGCTGACTGGTTATCCGGCTACCGAGCTCCCCTTTATCGTTAATTCTCTTCTATATTCTGCAACGAACTATTTGGGCATCTACAAGTATGTACCACAAAAATGAAATATTCTATCTAATCGTGATAACTTCATGTCGAACAGAAGACACTCGCGTTCAGTAACGGGGCTCATTGCATTGTATGTTAGATGGCAACGTTGCCGTTCGAATGAAGTCATTAGAAAACCTCTAGACGATCGTTCTATTGATAATTATTATGCGAGTATCAATAGTGTAGCAATATCTAGTCAGGATTCAACAACGATAGGCTTCTTACGAAGCTGGTAATGACTGCTAAAGCATGTGGACAACACTTGCTCGTTATGCGTAAACACGCTACACAAACAAGTGATTGGTAAATTTCGAAAAAAGTCGTACATTGATGACACAGAGCTGTTAAGCGGTTGCCAAAAGTCCTTTTGCAGATAGTAGGTATTGAATTGAAGCTCTAGAGTAACGCCAATTAAATCACTGAAGATGGCAGAGTCCCAACACTAAATTTGGAAACGCATATTATCATCGATGGCGACCTTATTCGACTTCTAGCTGGGTCAAAAGCCTGGGGAAACTTTGGGCTCGCTTTTTCAAAAATTTGCTAAAGTATCAAATGCGCGTAGCGACTGTTCTAGTGAAAGTGTTATATTGAGGAAAAAAAAAAGTGAATTATCTTCCATATCGCATTTAACCGTGGACTCGAATAAAACACCGTACATTGTTATCTGTCCTTCCGAAGTCACAGGTCCCAAGGGCGACACACTGTCGGAAGACCTGTCAATGAGCGTGCAATAGATCCGTCAGCTCTAAAAAAAAGGCAGAATTTTTCTACATATTATGATACTCACCGAAAGCTCAAGAGCGTGCCTCACTCGAAGATAGGTTTTGATGCAAACTACTGTTCAAGTTTGATGTAGAATTTTGCTGAATTATTAATAGAATATGTTTGGTCTAATCCTTCAAGTTCCCGTGATAGCTTAGCGGCTAACGTATTTACTGGCTATTACTAGGGGCACGTTGTGCTCTAAATTCAAACCCGGGCATAGAGTTTGTCTCATCTTGGGACCCAGCCGCCTCCTAACAACGATCCCGGACGTATAGGTTGACGTACAGAGGCCTTCATATCTGTATGCCATATGAGACTGCTATCTTGTACTGCTATAAAGTGTAAGTAGAAAGTATAAGTATAAAGAGCAGTACAACCACTTTAACATCATAAAAATGATTTAATGGTTTTCATGTCTTGAGCGTTAGAATAATGAGGGTAATTTGTACTTAGAATAAAGACTTTAAGCCCGTAAGACTGGTTGATGTCAAATGTATTGTCACGTAGCATGATTACAAAATAAGCCCCTCTAGGGCCGACTGTTTTATCACTATAGCGTATCACGATTTAAACATTGCAAACAACAGCTAATGACTTTAGAAAGCTGTCAGAAAAATAGCCATGTTTATTCGATACAACTATAGCCAGTTGGTGATATGTAAAAAGTCGCAGACATTTAAATACCTCAAGGCGATTAGGAAGAAGACCAGTAAACCTTTGACACGAACCGTATGGCTCTTTTAGACGTGACCACACCTGATTCATCCTAGCATTATAGTCAAACATTGCAGCCTGACAAGCAAGCGCCTCAAGCCAAACAGATACAAATTGTTACGCGATGCTGAGATTATTATAGTTACGAAGGAGTAGAAGGAGAAGTGGTTCATTAAAGCTGGCTTCAAGGGACTAAATATGATGCCCTCACAACCAACAAATGTAAATAGCAAAAATGCAAACTTCATTCATAGAAACAGTTGACAATAGGCACGCACTACAACGTGACCAACCATTTTGAAGCACCGTGTTTATCAGCAGAATATCCATCTATGCCGAATCATCGGACAAACAAAAAAGACCCTAAAATGGCCTCACTGAATCCAGTTATATAGGAGGTAAATATACTATCAACTGTCCATTCGCTAAACAATCAAACGTCTCCCCTTAGACGAACATACGCGTACCAACTGATATGTTTGTGGAAACACAGTCCAAAGAGAGTTTGAGAATCTTAGAGGTCCCTAAAGAAGAATCTTACGAGGCACTCACAGAGTTTTGCTGTGGGGTCTCAGTGCACGACATGAACTCCCCCATTGCGCTCCTCAAACGTCAAATGGCAAGCATATCCGCTGCGGTTTCTACACAGAAATATCAAAGGTCGCGAGTTAACCGGCAATACGCTATTTTCGAAGATATAATTCGGATTACCGTAGCCTCTTCAATAATATGAAAGTAACGGAACCGACTCCACCACCACATGAACGACCTCACATGTTCATGTTTTTAAGATTAACCTTAGAATGACATGTAATACACGGGAAACTCCGTCTATTATCTATCACATTGAGCTGTTGATAAACTTCTGATTTACAAAGGCTCAATAATAGGCAAAACAGATCGCCTAGTTGCAAGACCTAAGTTAGTTAAGAAGTAGAAGTACTGTGAACACTGTTGGAAGCAAATCATTATCTAATTGCAAGTGCCTTCTTTAACCTTATTATGGGGGTGTGAACGCATAAACGTTTACGATTACAAATGCACTTAGACTTCGCGTCAACGGCACCATATGCCATCTTCCGGTGCAAAAGTTTCCACGAATGTATCGCATGTAACGCCATTCTACAAAGAAATAACTAGTCGAGTTTGCCTGGAGCACACTGCTGAAAAGACGCGCAATTAGGTAGGCTGCTGTAGGCCTTAGGTAAGTCTTCACGATAGTATACACGGAAATGTAAATTTTCTTCACATTACTTGTATATGTACTCATTTTTAGAGTTGTTAGCAACGACAACGTAAATGCAAAACGATTAAAATCTACGCACGGTAACTGTGATGACTTGAGTTCCGGGTAGAGCATCCTCCTTCACATAAGCAGTGTAGCTGTCCTGACCGAACAGTGGAAAATGATCGTTGATGTCAATTATTTCAACCACGACTTCGATTTGTGCTGATAGCGGGACGAGCGACTCGGTTTCCATTGCACTAACCTGATAAAGCGACATACGAAATCGATTGAGAGACGTAATTACTTGAGATAATTTATTAATTTCGCCCATTCAGTCACTTCAAAAGAACAAATGAAGAATTTGCTTATCCAGATAGAAGTTCAATAGAAGAACCCAACACATAAATACATTTTGAGGATTTTCACAGAACACTCCTCTGTTAGGTGTCTTCATGCAGTTTCAGTGAAACGACCGCCTCTTGTTTTTTTTTCGTTTTTATGAGGTTCATTCTTAACTTATTTTTGAGGAAATATATATAAAATGTTGGTAATATCTCATAACTTTATAGTACTTAGCGTAGAATTTACTTATGCCCATGAACGTGCTCGAAAGAGCCGATAAAACTGTTAAATGTCCTAGTATTTCTCAAACGTAACTTGTTAAAGACCAGAAAGTTCTCATGATTACAACGCCTTCTGTTTTTCCCGCTTGCGAATACGCATTATAATGTGGTAAAAATATTGCCGGTTATCGGCGGTTCTATGGAGGAGGTGTTACCAGAATCCATCAGTTGCAATTTTCACCCTTGGCCCAACAGGCTGATCCTTGGTTGGAAGTTTTCATTCAACGAAGCAGGTAATAGCTTTGGCCATTTGGGGGGCTAGAACGCCTATCGATTGCCGACCTTTAGGGCTCCATAATTTCACCCATAGAGACGTTTCAATGCAGGTAACAGCCCTTCTCTCTTCGATCTCAGGCCACCCGAATGTGATAGCGTCAGCAGAATAACTACTGCCGTGACCGTGTATTACCATAAAGCAACGTGTGGTCTCTACAGTCATCAGAGTAGCAATCATAAATACACCAGCTTGTTTGCCTAACCAACCCAAACTTAGACTCAATATGGGAAAAACTTACGGAAATACTTTATTACCCTAGCTAGTAAAGTTCCAATTTGCGTCTTTCCATATAAAACGGATATTCTGTACATTTTCTAAAAACTTGCCTTTGAAGAAAAATAATCGTTCACGCTGTTTCTGGCCGAAGACGTTGTTTTATCTGAAGGTTTAGGTTACTTTTACGGCTCATAAATTCGTTAGCTGGCTTTATGTATCCTTAATTTTGCTTCTAATATTTGCGTTTTTGAGCTGTATACAAGCTGACTCCAACTTAACAAATGCAACATAACTACAGTATAACAGCAAACGATAAGTTTAAATCCTATGTAATTGTTGGTATAGTAGATAACGTGAAATGTCGCAAAACTGAATTTTTATAAATTTATATTATATGGCATTTAAGTAGTTTAAACTGAACCATTTAAGCTAATAAGTATTCGATATGTATATCTATATATAACGCACTCTTATAAAAATGTACTAAGATGGACCAGGTGGCGACCTTCAGGGGAAGGTCACTGCTATTTGAGCCCTGCCCACGACTCATATAGTACTAAATTTGCGTGAACGAAAAAAATTAGCTACAATATGTCGTGAAGTATTTTGGAGGTGTATTTGGAACCAGTAGACCATTAGTTAATACACAGGGTATCACTCTGTGATATTTAATTGATGAAGTTGGCTGAGTCAACATTATTTACAAATATTCCTAACTCTAGGCTCATCGCATCAATCGAGTGCACGCGGCGAAGGCAGCTGGCAACAGACGAATGATATCCACTGTTTATATGCATACCTACGTGTCGAGCCTTTGACGTCAGTCAGAATTCTTCTTTGGCTTGAGCGTCAGGGTCAATCCTTAATTCATCTACGGCTTTAGATGTCATTGAATACACTACAAAGCCAGTGAAGACAGATTTGTCGTCTGGCTTTTTCCTTTCGATTGCACAAATACTCTATACGCATTCACTGATCTATGAACGAAACATTATTACATTTTCAGGGCTTGCAAGGTTTTCCTTCTGCATAGCCTACAGGAGAACATAGAATACTGTACATCGAGTAGAGTAAGGATGAGTAAGGACCTCGCTATCGTTGAAGCAGGAAAAGGTCGACCTTACCTCATGAATTAGAGAAGTTACAGACTTTATCGAACGACAGGACAACAGACGCAAGGAAATGCAAAGAGAAATAGAGCTTTGTAAGAATTATTTATATGAATGTTCCAGTGATATCATTTCGCTCAGACGAGTGAATAGAGGAAAATTAAAAGTAAAAGACGTTCACTGTTGTTGTTGTTGCTGTTATTGCTAGCATTGACATAATTTCGATATCGGCGCCTCGAACAGCGTTCCTTGGAACTGCGACGGCTCCAGTTCGAGGTCTGAGTCTCTGTCCGCCGTTGGGGTCTGATACCGAAGCTTTTCTGACTATGACATTGGATCCGTGCGACCCGGAACGAGACACAGGCGCAGATACAAGTACAAAATTCGCATTATATGGCTGTAAGCGTATGAGCAGCTTCACTAGCTTCTTTGTCGGGTGCGATTTAATAGTGTATCTCATTTATACACTGAAGTAATAAAGTGATGCCTGCTTCTTTTGCGGGAGATTTCAAATAATATTTATTAGCCTCGTAAGGTCAATGTACGAGTGCAACGCATCGATTTCTATATTTTAACGTAAATTATTATTATTTAGAATCAATGCAGTACATTCGATTTTACCTACCTTCATCGTGAGACGGGGATCTTTGAGAGGATCAAAACGAAGTTTAGAAGGGTCCCTTACAACTAGTGAAAACTCGGCTTCCCGTAACACGTGACGCGGGACGACTTCGAACGCTGCAACAACGTCATCCTCTAACTCTAACTTAAATGTCGAGTTAATGCCCTGTCCAAACATGCGTGTAACAAGTTATACAATACTCGAACGCACGCTCACTTGTACTAACTGGATTTCGTACGTTTATTACTCTATCTAAATGTTCAGTTTCTACATCTTCGGCATCTGTCTGGCTTTATATATTTTTGAGAACCTTTGTCAATGAAGTGTACTTTTGAGGTAGTTATGACGTGGGTAATTTGACGATGTAGACGTTGTGTCTTATCTAATTCGATTATTCAACCATAGTTAGCTATATATATATATATATATATATATATATATATAATATTTGTTATACAATACAACTATAGTGTTTGTTGATTCTGTCACTCTCTCTCTATGTCTCAATATCTAGCTCTACTTACAGTGTCTTTATCGAACACCTTATTTGACTGCCCTGGAGTCCATTTGACAGCACTGTTCACGGGGCTTTGCTCAGCAATCTGAAATGCGCCAGTTGAAAATGTATTCAAAATCAGAATTGTCTCTTTTTCCGCTTTATCCGAACCCGTGGCGTACGCATATTTTTATCTGTATATAGCCAATGCACGTATTTGATCGGCAGATACAAAAAAAACAAATTTGGCATTGATATATGCACGCCTACATACATACGTGTTCAGTTGTAAAAATCTCCAAGTTCCTTCCATATTTCTCTGTTATTGCTACCAGCTGAATTGGTGGCCATTTATGAACAGGATTCGATGCGGACTGAGGATAATGCCGTACATTCATATGCAGTACCCTGTGGCCCGCACGTTTTCCTGTGTTGAAGTTTTCCAGGAACCGAAAATAGCACTCTTCGGAATCGGGCCGCGCGGATCTCTTTCAAATGCTTATTCTTCTACGAGAGCAATACATTGACCACCATATCCTAAGGCTATTATTCAAGCAATCGCTACCAGTAAACTTATAAATAACTATATTATGTAGGTTCATTTTATACTGACGATCGGACATGTCAATGAGTGAATATCATTTTTCCAGTGCCAAGCTCTGTTATGTAACCGAAGTGACTAGGATACTGGCGGAAATAATTATTCAGGCATGCTATCAACTATTTAAAAGCATACCCTCAATGCACACTTTTAATTCAATACAAAAAATGACGAAAAAAATACTCTTAGTATGTATGAACTCGTTGCGTTTCATCGATAAACCAATGCCACGAATAGTCATAGGATCTTGGCTTGATTTACGTTGTGCAGGCCAAAAACCTAGTTTATTATTATTATTATCCTAACGTATTCCTACGTAGTATGTTATATATTGACAAACGTACCTGCCCAAGTATACGTTTCCCGGCAGCGAACTGTGGCACGTGATTTTCTTCAGAGACGACGGCTACTGCGAACTCCGTCGACACCTGCAGAGGCGGATATTCCTGGCTGCTTTCTACCTCTCGTGCCTTCAAACAACAACAATACAGCTTAACAACAACTGTCCTAATAATCACTTTGAATACGGGACATGTTGCTAACGGTTCACCAAAAGGTCGCCCGCTTAATTCTGTTCATATAGATTCCTATTCTAATCTTGTGCCCTAACCGGCTCCTATACAAATCATATATTCTCCTTTCTAATAAACTCAATATACATTTCACGCATAAGACGACAACACTATTTTAGGAAGTATGGACGCATTAACAAGTATTGGTAATTGGCTTATTCAACACAAATGTATATTCCGCTATCTGCATAACTCATTTAATGAGAGGGAGTCGCTAAACCACTCTACGAATCATATTCGGTCCAATTTCATTTGCCAATTAGGAACAAAACTATCTTTTAGACTATAAGCACTTAAATCTCCACCTGCTGTTTGGAACAATACGCAAGGCTCATCAGGTCACCACTTGACGTCGACGATGAGATGGAACTCTTTGTGGGTATCGAGCATAGCTCATCCCCTGTTTTCCAACCAGGTAGGAAAAGTGGACTCTCATTTTGCGGAATAGGTCGCAGCACGGTCGAAACATGGTATAGCTCGTGGATCAAACAGGACATAGTCCGACTGGGCCAGGTATCAAGACACCATTTGGATTATGCCAATTGCTTGGTTGGACTGAAAGATGCCTGCGTTCAGGTTGTACGAGTCCTGGGAATTAGTGAAGCTTTAAGAATTGGTACGCGGAACGAAAGCGTCGAGAAGACATGATAGCGTATATCGCGCCTCCAATGGGGCAGACCATTGCAAAGGTTTGCCTCCCGTATGAATAGCGTACAGCTATATGCAATGTTGCGACACATTGTGTTGTAGGTTGAGCGTAAGTCTGCTTCTACTGGCGCTGTTATCAAAAAGCCGATATATCCTTCACTTCTGCACGACGCTCACCTTATAGTATTTCTTAAGTAATGCAAGTCTCGATGTGTTTAATAAGAATATGTGCCATGGAGTTGTACTTATCTACAAACCATCAGAAATCTCCAAACGGGAGTCAAATTCGAGTTTGATTTACTCTGGTACAACTTCAGTCATCAACCGAGTGTGCAGAATATTCATATGTACGTAACAACAAACGTTCTATTATAGCGCCTTTATTATGCTACCGGATCATTCTTTCTAGAATCGTACTGGTATCAACGCATGAGCTCAAGCTTAAGGACAACGTTTATTTCACCACTAATATAAGCGCACACCTATTTCGTATTATCATTCATAATGATGCTAGACCATCCGGTCTGACTGAGGTTTACTTGCATTACGCGGACGTGTCCGTAATAAAGTAATACAAATTATACTTACGGTAACTTTGAGAATGGACAACGACACCGTACAAGATCGTTCTATAAGTTCCTTGCCGTCACGCAGCAATGACAGATCACCTGTGTGTGGCTCTATACGAAAAAAATCTGCCCAATCGCTGCGCGGGTCTGAGAGGTAGGACATATTCCGAGGAGCTCCGAAATCCCCGTCAACAGCACGTATTCGGTGTATAACAGTGCCCTGTGTAAATTCAGAGATAATGCGCACAAAGTGTTTATGTAGACCATAATATATTTAGTATTCTGTTATGCAATGATGTTCGTAGAATAGAGAATTTGATTTTGTGGCAATGCAAAAGTACCAAAAATGTTAGAACATATTTAGACATCTTGTACTGAGTCTTACCGCCTGGGTGTTATCATTTACGACAATAACGGGGGGAATCCCAATGAAATATGGCGGAGTGTCGGGAGTATCTTCAACAACGATGCAAAGTGGAAGTATAATGATGTTCCGCGTGTCAAACTCATGATCGGTCCACGTATTCTGAAAGGCGAAAATACACCACGGGTACATAATCAAAGCACCTCGAATGTAAAAATAGAAAACAATGAGTAATTTACTTATTCAAAGTCCCAAGAACATTTGGCATCTATCCAGCAGTATTCCAGCCAGTGTCTTGCCAGCGTTTTCAGTTGAATTGAGAGGTCAGTAGTTGTTGCACCTTGTACCGTGAGACGTAAATTTTAAACAGGATTATATTTCTAAAATACAATACTAGCTTTAACTAGATGAATGTTATTCCAATAAAATGTACTCGGCTGTATAAAGAAGAATTCCCTAATATTTTTTCGATAAAGATTACCCCAAACAACCGTCCTGTCTGCGTACTATTATACATTGACGTCATAACTGTATTTACTGCAAACAAACAGGTGGTAAGATAGAAAGCAGGTGTAGATAGTTTGGGTGTACATGAAAAAACACCGAAAAATTTTACTTATTCCCCAGCTGCATGATGTACTGTTAGCATCTGTTCAACTTCAACACTGGGTGTTCCTGTTGTTCCAGTTTCTGTGGTGCCAATTTGGCTGACCCACCGGGCATAGTCAACAATGAAAAGCGTTCTTGAATCCAACTGGATATAATTGGTTCGGCAACTTCTAGTCAATCTAGTTAAAAACTTCTAGTCAGTCAAAATTCATAAACTAGCTAACCTTTATCGATATACCTATAAACCAGAGAAGAAAATAGATATACTCACAATGGCGGCCACTTTTATATAGTAGACGTTCTGAGCTTCGTAGTCTAACGGCATTTTTAGTTGCAGTTCTCCCGAACTGACTCCCTTCGGGCCGAAAATATATTTTATATAAAATTTCGATGAACCCTAAAATTCGTTAGGCCAAGAAGAGATGATGATATTCTATTGAGAGTGTTCGCCTTTCATAGTCCTCGCTTAAACTACCATGGTATCGCTGTTTCCTTTCACATGATTACATTTTTGTTTGATGACCACGCTGGCTAATACCAGACATTAGACAACCTCAGCATAGACTGTCGCTAAATTTTCTACGGGTTCGTCTATTTAACCGTTATAGAACTTCATGCCATCGACGTTTTATTCGTATAGAAAAAAATTAAAACGCTTTTCAAAGATCGATAGTTTCCATTAGGCAGACTTGGGAGATCAGCATACAACAACTTTACGAAAAATATAAGGACAGAAACCTGTTTCAATGTATACTTGCGGAAAACTGCACCGTCATCATGGTTATAAGAATGATTGCAACACAACACGACCCTTGAAAATCAGATGTTATCTAGTTTCTAGTTGTTTTATTTATTGCTAGAGGCGACTCGATACGGTCTTATCAACGTACAATGACTTCGAATACGACGGGAAGGTAGCTGTTCGGGTTATCCCTTGCCCTAATATGGCCAACAGTTGTATTAAGTGGCGTGTTCTGAAATGAAAAAAAATAATTATAATATAGAGTAGATAATAAAAGAGTTACATTAAAATTCGTCACTTCGGTAAGATCTGGCGGGGTATGTTGCAGTGCTGTGTTTCCGGTTAGATCCTTTGACTGAAATGAACCTCTGTCAATTATAGGTCTAATCAAATTCTATTCGACACGGTCCATAATACAAGACAGTGACAAGGACAACCCGAGGTACAGAAACGATTTCAGTGAATCCTGATAGGCTGATATTACTGGTAAGCATTGGACTAGTTGCATCACTAGTAGACTACTAGTCCCCGTGGTAACTTATTCGGTAATGTATTTCCCTGCTAGTCGTAGTGTGGTGTCCGGGCATAGGCGTACTTCGTCGACCCAAAACGAATTCAATATAGAAGTTCAGGGATCATTTTCAAAATAACAAGGTTAACTAGAGCCTTAGTTTAAGATTTGTTGCATTTTTCTATACAAACGTTATTTCGATTGGAGTGATCTACAAAGTTAGTCATGGGCGTTTGTGTTACTACAGTTATTATAACTATATATATATATTCGACACGGAAAAGAACCTTCGCAGTCGGCGTGTAGGCACACGTGCCATAGATATGCCAGAAGACATCCAACCATTTAATAAACGGGAACAGGACGATATGATAAGTGCTCAATTAATTTTGTGCAATATTTGCAAGGCCAGACTTGGTATGCTCATACTTGGTACCATCATGTACAGTCTCCTGCTATTTCTGACGAGCACCCTCCAACCTGGGCCGTAACTGAGGTGCCGGAAATGGTAGTGATGGTTAGAAAGCCGTAATTTTTATCACGAAGCCCCAGCGGCACTTTGTACTACTCTGCTTTAGGCAAAGTGTTCGTATTTCAATATGTAGCAAGATTAATGTCTCCGGAGCGAATGGAAGCGTGCTACAACGGTGGTTTTGATCGCGCCCGCTGCCGCTGCTACTGCCAGGGTACTCTTGGATGGGGTTTAGTCATGGGCCATTTAGCCCATGAGGGGCGATAGCGGCGGCACTACTGCCAAAGGTTAAACGTCGGTCGACAGCAGTTTTTGATGCACACGAACCCCATTAGGTTTGACGAAGCTGCCGAATTCGTATTTTCACTTTCCAATCCCACAAGCTAGCTCTGGCACGAGCTAAGAGCCCTTATCGACATATTATATGTGTAGTTGTACACTACACAATACTTTTCATAGTGCGCCACTTACAACGTACGCTGACTTTGTGCAGTGTTCTGACGCGCGAAGAACGATGTATTTAATCTATAACATTTCCACCGCAATTAGGGTTTCGATCTATCCATACTCGTGGATTGTATTTTTTTTCCTTTTAGCATACGCCATATTTATGGCATACGTACCTATGCGACTACTATCATTATTGTAATTAGCTAAAAGAAAAAAAAACACACAAAGGATATGTTAAGAGAATAGAGAAGTGCACATGTGAACGAATTGTTGTTGGGTGTTGACGGTTTGTCCCTGGCTACCCATACGTAGAGTGAGATGAAGGTTTCTGTATACTATATGCATACAAGACTATATATGTGTATATATATATATATATATATATGACGTTTTTGAAAGTGCCAAAAAGCATTTGCCCTATTCTGTATACATTAACACGCTTAAGCACCGACGGTTCATAAACATCTTGTGATATTTTCAAGATGGAGATATACGAATCGTTTAACGCAAAAGCTTCGCACATACAATTTTTACCGCGATAACATCGTCGGGTGAGTCGAAATATGCTCAAGCACTATGAACGGATACGAATGGTGAGGCACTGTACTTCGAAATACCTAACCTGCAGAAAACAAATGTATGCCTTGAACTTGTGTGATAGGACTGGAGTCCAATGCGTAGGAAACATGCCAACTTCACAAAACAAGTATTTATCGTTATGTTACAGAGTTTTGCAAAAGTTTGTAAAGCCACAAATCATTTCATAAACCCTTGTGATTGCGTGTTAATTAATTAAATAGTAAGGATGCGTCATCAATTTGTGACTACCAATGTGCTTGAGCGGTTCTGTAATTTCTGTCGGTTCCGGAAAGCTTCAGCTCTTATTGTAAGTCGTAAGAAGTGTACCGACGTGTAGCCAATGAAAATGTGAGAAACAACCGTTAACCTAAAAGACTAAATAAATGACTCATACGGATACTTATGAGAAGAGGGAACATTTATCGTCATAAAGGAGATCTCATAAACAAATAACAAAAGATTGGTAATCCGGTATTGGGTTCTATGTGATGCCACTATTATTGCGAATCTACTAGTGCTAGCTATTTCGGCACTGATGTCACCAAAGGCACGTAGCCATGATTCACCTTTTCGCCGAGGCCACGAAGGAAAGGTTTGTTTATTCGAACGGTAATACTCAGCCAGCGAATCGGCAACGGAAGTCGATGCAGGCAAGCTGCTCCAGAGAACAGAAGAACGGACAATCGGTGCCTCGTTCAGGAGACCCATTTCAGAGGAAGAGATGTCCTACCGTGTGTTCTTATCCTATTATTCACTACTAACGCTACTTCGGCTTTTCTGAGACGTTTTTGGCCTAATCAACAAACTAGGTGGTTATATTTTGGAAAGGTTCACCTGCTTCGAAATCAAAATTATGATTTGAGCGAGTAAACGAATATCAAATTGCGACCCTTAGTATGTCACATGTTGTTTAGACACATATCGTTCCAATAGCTGACACAACGGGGATAATTAGATATTGAACATGCCAGGTCATCCTTCTCACGAACTCACTTACGGCATACATGCCCTTGTGTGTGTATGTGTCTTAGGACAAAGCCTCCCGAACGCAACCTAAGCTATAAGTGGAACCGTTTGAAGTGTTTGTTTACTTGCAAAGCCCTTCTCACAAAAACTAATTGTCACTTTAGGAGGACACTCCCATGACAAATGATGTACAAGCTATAGTGTCTACAGCAGAGCATGGCGTGAATTTACGTTATATTCATATGTGTTCTGCGTCGCAAAGAGACACTGGGAGGCGCCTGCTGAGACCTTTCACTCCAACCGCTTGACTGCAAAAGTAATTCCGTTTCGTGCTAGCCGCCTTAACGGTGGTAATGTTTGCCATAGATAAGTACGTCGGCTCGTGTCTCGTTGCGTCAGCCGTTCGCGCGAGTGTCTGCTGGCTTTCGTAGAAGAACCGATAGGATCGGAAAAACGAAAGGGGTAGAGTTGGCGGCAGGAGTGGCGAAGCCAGGCCACAAGGGTTATAAGCGCAACGACTGGCAGAGTGTGTTGACGCAAGCCGATTTTAAGTATTGCTTTTTTGAGGAGGGACCTTTGATGGCTTCGTGCACTGTTTGTAACGAACTGTGATCGCTGGCCTTGAAAAGCCCTGAACTTGTGCGGCCCTTTTTGGTTCTCTCGCCGCTTTCAATTTTGAAGTGAAAAAAAACGAAGATTCTTCTGCGAGACGGCCGCAAACGAACAATACAGGCCAAGCTGCGCCAAGATGAAAGATTTTGCGTGTCCAAGCACGTTTGTCCCACAGACAGCGAAAAAGGCAATCGCAGAGAAACACGTCGTGCAGTGGTGGAACAGACACGCTCGCAAAGCTTCGATCGGCTCTAAGCATTCGAATCTTTAGAAGGACACGGCCTATTCGAAGGTTCGCTCACCAGCTTTACGTTAATGTTGTTGCTCGAGCCTTCAGTCGATCAGGGTCGAGTGAAAGCTCGAATTCACTTGCATTTTTTCAAGTGAAAGAAAAGCCTTTCCTTTTGTCGCAAGAAATACTTTGAAGGATGTCGCACTTCGTGGCAGCACGTTTGTTAGGGGAAATATGGAATTTAGTTTTTTAGTATTGTTATTATTATATGAAACACATCGTAATAAATAATTTGCTCGAATAGAGGGTGTCGAGTTATGTACAAAAGACACGATTGGCATTCTAGGCAAAAATACGCCTTATCAAGAAAAATTTAAATGTGTAAATTTTTTTTTTTTTAATTTTCGTTGTCCCAGGTTTATTTAAAGGCACAATAAACGATGCATTTTAGGTAAAGGGAGATTTACTAATTTATTGTGTTTTATTTTGATGAAACAAAGTATTCAGTCGGTGCTCGAGTGTCCTACTTGTTTTGTGCCTCTAGCCATTAAACATACCATTTGCTGGATGAACAATACGTACATATTATACAGCTGACATATAGTATATTTGCAAAATTTCCTGTCATGTGCAGGCCATATTTTAAATAAATAAATAAGATCGAACACTTGACCTGGATACCGTATCGCTTCACGTAGACGTAATTTTACAACCTCTTGTTCTAATCCTTTTTTTTTTTTTGTAATTGAAACGTTTGGGGTTCCTGGCTTGATAGTGCCACTTGTGAAATCGACTGAAATATGACGTTCTATGATTTCTGCATCGTAGTCTTTTCCAAGCAGGCGCTACTTGACTGGTACATATTTATTGCTACAATTATTCTTTCTTCTTTTATCAATACGGCCTCGTTCCTGTTTGATTGGCCGTGTCCAAGCATTCTCTGCGTAAGCTCGTATATTACACTGCATATGATAGTGTACATCTTGGTTTTGCACGAAGGCACGCACAACTATAGATAGATAGATAGAGATGCACGTTGTATGCAACACGCATATGACACATTTTTACACATGATAATACTGGGTAAGTAGTTAACGTTTGTGCAGGTTACGATGACTAACTTCAGTCCAGTTGAGCTGCAAATGGGTTCATGGGTCTTTACCTCTGTGTGTATAAGTAACCCTATGTGTGAGATGGGTGGTGATTTATCTGTGGCAAACAGTTCGCTCTATGCGAAGCTTTCCCCAGTCAACCAGCTACCTAGCTAGCGAACGCTGTTCTCTGACCCAGAGGGTCGAACAACCGCACTGTAGGGCCGCGTATTCTTCCGGCAGCGTCTGCCGATGTCAGTCATCAACATTCAGCAGAACGAACGAGTGACTGACTTTCTCCTCTACCCGTGATTCCTGC